CTGTCATTAGACATTGTCCAGCCTTAAACTGCCTGCACATTCATGGAACATGGCTAGTGAATCTAACTTATTTGTATTGGACGTAAAACTCTTTTCTATACACCCCATCCTCATGATTAAAATTAAAAATTATAATAGAACTAGGAGACAGGAATCCCTTTGTTAGAATTCCCATTCATTAAACACGAGAAGCACAAGACAGAAAATCTGAACCGTCATTAATACCCCTTTTTTTCAAGACCTCCCTAAAATGCGTTATCCTTAACGAAGTATCTTTGGAGCTGCATGAGGTAATTCGGAAAAAAATTTTCTGCATGATAATTTTCTGCTTCTGATTCCTCCTATTTTTAACCGAAAATAATGGCACGAAGGTCGTTCGGCATATTTTTCTGACTTGGATAGGATATCACCCCGAACTAGAACTGACAACATGTACACGAAAGCCCTGCTCATTATGTATAGGACTTCTTTTTTTGTCGCCGGACAACCATATTTTTCGATTCTTAGAGGTTCTGTCATGCGAAGTTCAAAGTGGTCGTGACTCCGGACGTGAATAAGCCGTACGTGCGAGCACAGCTGCTCAGAAACTCAAAGTAAGAATAAGAAATGGAGAAAAATATTCTTTCTGCATACGTAATGAAGGTATAGCCAGCAGACACACAAAACAAATACATGTAACTGTGAAAGATTCCAACCGAACTGCAACATATATAGGGAAGTCGCGATAAATCAGATTTCCTTCATCTATGCACACGGGCAATAATCGTGTTTTCGGCACGTAAAGCCGGGGACAAGGAAGACGCGACGAAGAATCTCATACCCCCCGGGGGGGGGGGGGTATGAGAGAAGAAGAGAAACTTCGCCACACAATACTATACGACGAAGCACGGCCACGCAGCAGCAGGCGGCGGGGGTGAAATTAGTCTCATGCGTTTCTCGTGCTTCCTTCTCGTCATTTCTTTATTTTTGTTCCTCGCGTTTCCGGATTTTTTCCTCTCGTTCACCTCTCTCTTTCTTTCCTATCCTATATCTATATCAATACACATTACGTTCGTCGCAGTGTGATTCTTGAGGACAGCTCTCTATCTCTATGAAGACAGCATCTCTGCTGACCCCACGTGACTTGCTAAGCGCGCGATGTTGATGCGAAAAACCAAAGGGGTTTTTTTTTTCTTCACTTCAAAAAACTGTTTTGAACCTCGTGACCTTCGTCCTGGGTCAGGACAAGAGGAGGGAATTTTCCTTGATGCGGGCTGAACGAAGAAAATCACAGCAAATAACGCGTTTGGCCGAAACGTTTCGCGTCTCTTACAGAAAACCCCCGGGGTATCTGCGTGTAGCAGCCGTCGCCAACGTGTAATTTCTTTTCTTTTTTATGTTATTCGGAAATGAAGCGAAAATTATTTTCATAAATACATTACTCGACTAGATTACCGGATGCTGTGTTACATTTGACTGCGTGTCAGTTTTGTAGAGATATTGTGCATGCTTGTTTCTGACCCAAACATAAAAAAAGCCATCTACATTGAACCTTTCAGCAAATTTTTTCATTAGATTAGACACTCTTGATGATGCACGCATGGCGTCCAAAAATATAAATATATTTAGTACATTTTGACTCGAACTTCTTGATTTTAATTTTTAAAAACTATCTGATAATACAGTACGTGTTCTTCAGAATGACTGTAATATTCCTATATCTGCAAAAGGCTTCACGTCCCTTCTGTGTCCTTCGGTTTATTCCTGGACACTCTCCCATTACTTTAAGAATGAGTAATTTATTACAAATGTTATCTTCTTGCGGTTATTTTTTGTGGGAAATATAATATTTTTAAGGGTGATCCGGATCGTCATACCCTATACATATTTTTATCAGCGTCTTTCGAGACGATTCGAAATGCTAGTTACTTTATTCTATTCACCCGGCAAAATAAGGAACTTGACTGTTGTGAAGCTGCATGACTGCTTTGAAAAAAAAATTTGCCAGGGCAAAAATATTCGTCAGACGTAGTCTGTGTTTTGAATTTCATTCCTTGAAATTTCCCGAATCAAAACTAGAGGTCATTCAGAATTGAGAACATTTTTTTCAATTTCTTGTGGATGTCCGGGTTGGTTCCAATGGGATTCTACCTGTTATTTTCAAGCTGGTAATTGACGGGTGAGTTGAATGAAGGTACCCCTTCACTTCTGCAGAACCGTTCAAATGAATGAAGTGCGTCCGATACTTAAAGATGAAATCGGCTCGATTCATCTTCAAAAATTTAATAATGTACGTTTATTTTTTAATTAATCTAATCAGCTATTCTTTTCCTGTTGCGTCTCAGACGATGATCAACGAAGATGTTGAGTGGTTTCGGACCATCTTTGGGTAATTTCACGTAAAAGTTTACAATATAATTTTCATGTGTAGATCAAATTATTACGAAGGCGTTTCAGCTCGTACATTGCAAAGCTTCCTAATGGATCACATGTTAGGGATTGGCAAGATACAACGCAAAAAGTCTTCGACTTCACTAGAAAATTAAAAATCCGGGCAAGTTTATCTTAATTTGCTACAAAATTGGTGGAAAATCGAACGGTTGGGATTACTTTAATGAAATTACTCAGTAGTTTGTTCGTAGGTTTCCAGTCCTTGTATGAAGGAATGTTTTGAGCAATTTCACTTGCGAGAGTTACTACAACAGTTGAAATTTCAACTCTTTTGAAAACAATTGAAAACCCCTTGAAACTTAATTTGAAGGAACGCCCAACAGGGGATTGTTCATTAAAAAAACCTATTCTTATAGAATAAAAAAGGCCTTTCTTACCTCTGCTGAATGAGTATCGAATAAAAGACTCAAATATTCCAGCTGGCACTTTCTCCGTAAAATACGAAGAATCCACTCTGAACAGCTGCAGATGTTATCCGCAGGCATTCGAGCACTTGTAGATATTTTTTAGAACAATTTATCTTTGGATTCGATTCAATGCATATCTGGACCGATTCTCAGCCTTGATTTTGCGTTGATCATCATACAAAAACACCCGAACGTGCTGAAGAGCGTGTCTCTCATTTGGATGGCATAAATGCGCAAAAAGCTCCACATCGCATCACAAGACACGGGATCATCAGATTCCGCCATTTATTTGATGGAAGATGTCGCGAAACCAGCGACAGAAAATTTTCGACGGAATTTCGGACGTATTCATCATGATTTTTCTCGCAGAAAGAACAGCGTGAAATGAATGGCCTGAATGCACTCATTTTTTCCAGTGGAATAAATTTTCTTTTCGGCCATAACTTTTACATGAATTGTTGGATACTGATGCTTTACCGGTATCGCGGTATTTGATGAAGAAGAAAAAAAGGGATACGACGGAAGCTTTTGTGCCTTTGATTTCCTCTGCGGTATCAGCGAGATCCTGCGAGACGATTATTGCGTTCCGATGTCGCGAGAATAATTTACTGCGCAGAATACGAGAGTAACAGTGAAACTTTTACGAGACACAGCTTCTCTTTTTTTTACTTCATCTCCGGAATATTCGGGGATGTCAAGGCATCTGAAAGTGCGTCGCATTTTCCCGTGGAATAAATCGTGGAAGCGGAAAATCCCCTCCCCCCTTTTTTGCGGCCATAAAAATTGAATTGATGCATGGGAACGTGACGCTATCGGCGCTTGCATTCATATTGCCGAAATTCCAGAAAAAAGTTTCGGATAAAATGTCTGGTGTCTGCGCAGACTTCCGGAATAGGACGTTATCTTCTCTCTCTGGATAGAATCTAAATTTCCCTCCAGAAAAAACTGCGCGCAGTAGTCATTTTTATTGCATAACGCGCTTGATGCTTTGATCAATGATTGACATAAATTCTTCTGCGCTGCCATTCTTACTCCGCGTTCATCCTCCATGCTATTAAAAAATAACAGGAATATCTCTTTTAGATCAAGTTGGGCTTCTTAGATTTTTCGAGACCTTTTTGCACGCTGTAATATGCAATTAATGGGCAATTATATGTAAAAAGAACGAGAAAAAAAGAATGAGCGCTCGGTTACGTGTATTTCTTGAAAGAAATGGTTAGGAATGAAAGAATGCCTAGTTGAAGGAAATAATTTAAAAAAAATCAAGAATCAGTTCTTTCTTTCTCTGTAAGAAATTGATCAACTACATTAATCTTCATTCTGGCGTTTCATACTGCGCCCAAAATTATGAGCATCGATTCGATGGAAGTATTCAAATCTTTCACATATTACTGATTACATGATGGTGAATTTTTTTTAAAGCCACTAGAAGTTTGTGCTTCAACATCAAAGAACATTGCTTTTCGCGTGGAAGAAGTATCTTCTCGTGACCTGTATTTGGTACAGTATAATTTTTTTGCTCCATAATTTGACATTTCAATCCAGGGTCTCAGCAGGTCATCATGACCGTTCATATATTGTTACAGTATGACAGTGAACCGACCTGCATCAGTATTCACTCAACTTGGAAAATTCTCGTCAAAACGGTTTTTAACTATAGACTCCTTATTCCAAAGTTGACTTGTAATACATGGCTTACATACAAAACACGCGAATTTTCCTCCAAAATGTAGCAATAACTCTATAAAGGTTTAAAATAATTATTGAGGTACTTCAATGCAGATGTTATTGCTGAAGTACTGTGCTGCACTCGTGGATTTACATCAGTTGCTTGAGTTCGTGTTTTATATCTGAAGCCTTTATTTGGAAGCAAAATCTTGAAGTCACTTCATCTTCTAGTAAAATATAGTACGAAATTGAAGGAAATTTATTCTTATCGAAAGCTGCAAGATTCAGCGCAGTAATAAATTCAAAGGCTGACTTTTGCAACGTTTTTCAACAGCTGCGTTCGATGTGAGTTTACGGAGATTGTAAAGCAAGCAAACTTCATTCTTCGAGGTTAAAATGGAATTTCCCCCGGAAAATTGAAAGCAACCGCACCTGAGGGTCCATACCCTCTAGCCGTATTCAACAGGACCACGAAAATCCAGCGAAAGACAGCGATTTTCTTTTTCCCCACGTTATTTTTCTCATCTTTATTTTCCGAGTCAAGTAGGAACGCCCCAGGGGCGGAACATGTCTTGATGAGACGACACAAAGACGCGTACGAGGTTGAAGATAATCGCGCCGAACAGGAAGCACAACGCATCGCGAAGCAAGCTTTGTCCCCGAATGCGAGTATCTGCGGAAGTCCTTGCTTCAGTCTCCACTGCTGCTGCTGCTTCTTCTTCTTCTTCTTCTTTAGGCCCTTGTTGCAGCTCAGTGCATGATTTACTCGCAGTGTCGTAAGCTGCTTGCTGCTGGGACGCCGCTGGTGTCGCCCCTGCCTTCTCGGGCTTCTGACGTTGACGGTAGCAGCACGTCGAGGATCCCAAGCATTCCGACGAGTGGTTCCCACTTCCCGTCAGTGACGGGTTGCGCTTCCAGCCGAGCTCGTCTCTGATCACTAAAACCCATTGAGAATTGACGGCGAGAAGAATGAAATCAAAATCTCTTTCAAGCGGACTTGGGGGTTTTGCGAGAGGAGCTGGCTGATGGGTGGAATGGGAAATTCCAGAAGAATCATTTATTATCCGAATTAGAGCAATCTACAATATTTATGTGGGCTTGGATTAATTCGTCTGAAATGATGAATATCGATCAGACAAAAGAACGCACCCTTATTTGTCGTGATTTAAATTTTTAATGATGCATCCTGTACCCGACTTTATTAAAATGTATTTCTCTTGTAAATAAAAGGTGAAGTGACAAAATATTTCTATACTATGTCCATATTCAAGAACTCATCAGCTGCATTGGCATAATCAACTGATGGATATAAATATGAAAATTAATCCAAAATTTACCAAGAGAAATAGGACAGTTTCCGTCGTAACAGAAATCAAATCACCTGTTTGAGTAGTTGCATGCAATTACTGCATAAGAATTTACGCTATATTTTTAGTAAAATAAAATCAATCACAGTCAAACCTCACCAAGTCGAATTTCAAGGGACCAGCAAAAAATATTCGACCCATTATGGAGGTTTTGAGTTAGGAAAACAAGCATTTTTACTTTGGGAAATGTAGAAGAATTTCCATAAATTGTAAACAGTGATATTTTGGGCATCAAATGAGTTCACAGCATCATACTGAAATTGGAGACAGGGGTCCATTTGTCCAATGAGTCTCTCACTTCCTTTCAAAACATATTATTTTTTATTGCTTTTCTCTTTCCGAAGTAAAAACGATAAGAATAGTTGAAAGGCTTGAGAAAATTACCATTTTGGAGGTTTGAGAGGAAAAGCCTTCAATGGTATAGGGAGGTTTTTAATGCATTGTTTCTAAAGGAATTCAGGTGGGGACTTGCAAAAAATTTCTATTTGAGCAGTTGGTTGATTTGACATGGGGAGATTTGAGCTATCAAGGTTCAACTATATTTAAAATCGAACACGATTTTGTTTTTCTGAATGGGAACCAGGGGTTAAACTTGTATTCAGCGTGGCATGTCCAAAGATAGGGCTATAGGGTTCATTCATTAACTGAATCTCTCCTTTCAGCCCACACACACACGTATGATACCTGGTTCTAAAGAAATTTCCTGAGAATGTATTCCCTCAATCACGGTTCAATCTCTTGCTCTTTTCAAGACCGCATTAATGATCTCACCGGGTGTGTTTTCGTACTGGGTCTGGAGTACGAGGAGCTTCTGGGAAATTGATTTGAACACGGCCTGGTTCCGCTTCCGATTCCCGATCCTCGTGAGATGGGTGCCAGGGAGGTGATACCCTAGCGACAGGTTTCGGTCTTGGCTATTTTTAATTCCCGCGCAGAAATCCGTTTGAACAGAATCGAATGCTTCACTGAATTTTGTCGGTGCTTCGCGCATTTCACGGTGGGTTTCCGGTTTGCTTGATTCCTCGCCTGCCCGAAATGCGCAGCGATGCTCAAATTTCCCAGAGTTCCTGAAAAGAAAAGCAACTTCAGAAGACCAGGTTAATTTTTGTTGTTGATTGCTTCACAGCGCGTTTCTTTCGTTGAAAAGAGTTCTGAAAACCGAATTTGCGATAGGACTTTCGTATATAAGTACACACAAAAAACCAGCCTTTTTTTGCTCAACAAAAAAATCACCAGGCATGGGAGAATTTTTGTCGACATTCAGTACAAGTTAAACAACAACAAAAAAACCAGAAAATGAAGAGCTGGCACCTGAACAGTTTTACTGTATAGTGTATACCAAGAAGTTGAAGATCTGATATTCAAAAAACGTAAAGCAGTTCGAACCTCTTGATGAAGAAGACAAAACCCCGATACATTTTTATATTTGACTTAAACGTGCATATTATTCATCGTGAACTGCTCAAAAAATTAAAAGCAGATGATCATTCCGAGAAAAATTTTATCAGCTTCCAGTTTTTATAGCTGCAAAGCTGGACCTTTTTTACATTTTGAAAATAAATAAATGAAAATGCTCCGGATTCGCTCATTTCACTTATTCCCACCAAACCCAGTAATTCTGAATTTTAGTGGGTTTATTGAAACAGCTTTGCCTCAGAATTCAACTATTTCTTCAAGAATCGTAATTTTATTCTTAAAATTTAAGATTTCGTCTCTGCATGCAGAGAGAGAGGGAGAAAAAAGGATTTCCGTCGAGAGAGCGATTGGGAAATTTTTTTTTCTATGGACGGACTCGCTGCTGGAATCGGTCGAAAAATAATATAAAGTTTCCAAATACACACTAAAAATTTCTCGTGGCATGTAAGCGAGATCGCAGAACAACAGGATTGAAGCTTCCGTGGGCGTGTGAAACATACCAGGAGCAGAGCGGAACTCCTTCGTCACCGGATGCCTCGCGTCTCGGTTGCTGATGCTCTTGCAGCCAGCAGCAGCTGAAGGGATCCGACGATCCCTGGTGCTGGTGCTTCTGCTGCTGCTGGCTGATCGGAGCTGGGGTTTGATTGATATTCCGGACGGATATAATCTGATCACAGCTGTAACCAGCAGCCCGCTCGGCCCAGGGTGATGAGCGACAGGCCGGATTCGTCGAGGTGGGTCCGTCTTGATTCCTGATGCACGCAGTCGGAAATTATTCGGGAATCCAATGCTAACATCATCCGCGAACCTCAGGCAGATAACAAAATCAGACTTCATTTGAATACAGTAGGTACCTCGGATAATGGATGCCTCGCATGATAATGTACAGTACTGTACAGTACTTGAATTCACTCGCGTACAACGCGTTCTAACGTAAGAAGCGCACTTTAATTCTTCCGACCAAAATTATGAGAAAAACTAGTATTTTGCATACCAGTTTCTGTAACCTGTTTAAATAAAGTTACTTTTGGAAACGAATAAGGAAATTTCAAATGTATGCCAGTAAAATTTGAATTTCATTCCACTGGATTTTTTTTACCACTAGCTCTCATGTAAGACGTGTAGTTTAATTTTTCAGGAAAAATTTTGAAAACATAAATTCCAGGGAACGACGCATTGCCCATCAGTTTTCTGTGATAAAATAATTACAGTATTTTAAGGAAAAAATGCCAACATTTGAAATTTACACCCACACAGTTGGATTCCATTACGCTGGGTTATCTGTTTCACATTTACACCTGCCAGTTTCATATGAATATACATTTACATTTTAACTCACTATAGTCCCTATAGACATGATTTCTTCATGACTAACCAAATTTTTTCAAAGAATGACACACCCCAAGAACGGAAAAATAGCTAAACAAAGATTTTAGTAATTGAACTTTATATAATTCTAGTTAGAATATCCCTTCAAATTTCTTCATATTTTTGTGACGATCTTATTCCCCAAAAATTAATGGTGATGTACTTGAAAAATAAAATCATTCTAGCTCATTTTTTCCTTGAAAATACAGCAAGTATATTGAAAATATAGCTAGTAAAAATGCTAAAAGCCCTCGTGTATGTATTGAAACAATTTTGAGAGACGTGAACTAGAATTCGTCAAGCAGGGTTCCTTATTTGTTCATGCTTTTTTATTTAGAGATGATTAAAAACTTTTGAAATTTCTCCATTGGCTGTCCAAGTATGAATCCAGGACAACAATATGTATTTTTTAATTGTGAAGAAACTCCCATGAAACTCTCATGCAGATTTTCACGCTATGATCATCCTCTAGAAAATTTAAAATATTTTCTTGAGCTGAAAAAATCCTCTCCCCAATTCCATTGGAATCCGTATTAAAGCATCAATTTGTACACTTCTCAACGGCACACGTATTGGCTGGAGCTGTTTTTTCCCCTTATCATTGAACACTTTTTTCTTGGTTTAGGCAGATTTCAAAGGATCTCGCATGTATTCAGTCAAGCAGAGCTTTGACGACGAGATATTTTCCTGACACATCGGATGCACACTTCGCAATATATATCCCGCAGCGGCACTGATCATGACAAGACACCGTCAAAGACACGAGATACAAGCAGCAATAACGTTCACAATCCTCACAAAGGGAGGATTCAAATTCAATCCATGATATCAAAGGAACGGAGTCAGTCTCCAGAAGACGACGGGTGGAAGTGTTATGCTAAAAACTAGAAACACAATCTTGCTCGGCTGTAGATAATATTTCCCATGCATGAAGTATGATCACGTATGCATTTTCGTACACATAAAATAAAGCCTGCCTCAAGAAATATTCTCGCATTTTTCAAAATTGAACGGAAAAAAGGAAGGCATCGGAGCAATCCATGAGTTTTCTTTTCAGGCGACTGCAAGCGATGCATGCTTTCTGCGCGGAGTGAAGTGTTCAAAAAGAAAATATATTGATAACCATTAAAATAATACAACCACATCATTTGTATTTATCTTGAGCTATAAAATAATACCAATCCGATTTTCTTCCAGCTTCAGAAGAAGCGAAAGAAAAAGAACCCGCCACATCGGCACCCACTTAATTTTCCAGTTCGATTCATTAATGACTTATATTCGGAATGTGCATCTTAGGATTTCCCGTCAAGTCTAAGTGCTACCGAATGCTGCACGATTAATTTCAAATCTATGACTGAGATGTCTGACTTTATTCAAAAAATAATGCAATAAATAAATAAAAATATTGAAGTAAAAGAGCTGTGTTTTGTGCGATACGAACGGAAATCAGACATCTCTTGCGGAATCCCAAGCAAAATGACAGCTAGGATTTCCCAGAACATTTTCGATGCATCCACTGTTTACAAAAGAAATGCATCATGGATCTGAAGGACGTATTCCTTAAATCGTTCTCGTAACATTCGTAGAAACAAACTCATCAATCATCAGAACGTTCTTTTTATTTTTTGTGACACACTATCGTGTACTTATTTGCAGTGTATCGCGTGGAAACAGTTGAGAACGCAATCAGCGTGAGTGCTCTCATCGTTGATTACGATACTCGAGAGGTTTCTAAGGGATAATTCCGAAACATTCTGCAACGAATGCTGCCTATACTTTCTCTCGAATTAATTCACGTGGGCTAGCTGTCAAAATTATGCTCGTCATTGTGAAAATAGCCTTTTTCTGTTTTCCTCGCAGATTCGGATCCCAATTTTCTTTTGAGTAATGACCCCGAAGGTTAATTTAGTATGTTGAAGATTTTGCTCATTCCGCGATGTTGCTCCCACATACAGGTCTGATCTCCGAAGCGAAAGGGGAAAGGATGAAAATTGAGTTATCCTCGAAATGAACCTGTTCTGTGAATATAAAAGAGGCACTCTTATTTCTCTCGTGTTACTTGCGTCACGGTATTGACCTTATTTATTTCCTGAACAATTTGCCGACGCGGATGGTTGAGGTCCTCTGTAATTCAAGTACTGTACATACATTATTTACTTTCCCTGAAATTCTGCCTCTTCTTCTTTTCCTGGGTACAATATATTGAACATCGACTTTCATCGAACGGAAGTGTTATGACAGTTCCAAATTGTTATTTGACCCGTGGAAACGCAGCAGCCTGTTTATTTTTAATTTAAGACGCTTCATTGGATTTACAGTACAGTACTCGGATTTTCATTGAAAAAAAAATTAAAAATTTATCGACGGGAAGAGCGTCAGAAAGCTAAAACGACCACCAGATACGAAAATATATAAGCGTTCGAACAGAATAAGGAAAAAATAAATGCACAATTGCATTCTGATGCTAATTTCTTAGGGGGAAACTCCTAAAATGGGCTCCTCTTTTTAAGATTTCCCGAAATTTCTGAAATATCACACATCAACTAAAAAAAATTAATCCTCGGGTAATAAAAAACACAAATTATGTATTACAGTATTGATCATCCGTGACACGTATATTTAATCGATTTGACGAACTCACCAGGATAGTCGAGACTCGAGAATATTCGTTTCTTGACTCCATCTACAGGCCTAACCTATTTCTATTGGAAAAATTCACTCAGATTTTCAAGAAGAGGCTTTGTTGTTTGAAGACACGCGATTTTGATGAGGACTCGCATTGATGCAGATCATTCAATTCCAGACGGAAATTCAATGAAAAAGCGACGGATTTCCAGCTACTGATGGCGTCAGAATATCTCTGCTCGAGTACTTAGGTCTTACCTCTCAAATCTTCCTTTCGACATTTTTTTTTTTATCAGCGTATAAATCAGGATGAAAAGTTCAAGTGCAGCACTTCTTTTGTGATTGATTCTGGGCTCAAGTGGGACGAACTCGATGAGGTTCTTTTTAAAAATGTAGTGGTTGCACAAAGGGTGGTTTGAATACGCCCAGATAAAATATTTTATTCATGGCGCCTCTCGGTACTCCAATTACTTGTGAAGATTCTCTTCAGAACACGTGGCAGAATAACCCCGAAGTCGGGCTCTATTGGAATACTGAGCAAGGCCGTGACTTGATTTGAATTTTTTTTATAACTTTCCTGAGAAATCCAGGAGAATACTTATTATTTTCTCCCTTATTATTCCATCAAGCAGCTTTTTAAAAAGCACCAAGAATGTGACATTTAAGCCGAGGATGAACCGACGTGGCTAGTTTAGGAAAGACAATGTCGAATGTGAAGGGTAATTTGAAGCGTACTCCATCTAAACCATTTAAAAAAAAGGAAAATACAGTACTGTACTACAGTATAATAATGTGAACTGAATGATGAATAATCTTTTATGTAACAATACATTTTAAGAAGTACCATAGTGTACCGGTGCACCCAAAAAATGCGTCCAAGTACGTGCTTCCCGGTCACCACCGTTGAATTGTTTTCATTTTTTTCCTCATCCAATAAAGAAACGTATAACATTGAAATTTTGAAAAAGCTGGCACAGATACACATGTTTCGAAGTCATCCGTGCAGATTTTTTTCTCATGATTTTTCCACTGCTTCACGAAAGTTCCATATTGTGCTCAATTCAGGAAAGTTTCGAAAAATCTTAAAACTTAACCTTTCACTTGCCGAAGGATAAATGAAAATGCATTCTCCATAAAGGCATTAAATGTCTATTAGCAAGTACCTAAATGATACTGCAAAGGACGAGTCTCATTTTCAAGCATCTTGAACGGATTAAACGCACCCATTTCGAAAAACGATCCTAGGAAATTATTTACGTCGAGAAACGCGTGCTCAACATTTTAGGAAAGTTCCCGAATATTTACAAGGAAAATATGATCAATATCGACACTGTACATGCATGGGAAATATTCCGCGTTTATTATTATTCTGTACGTACGTTTCGTAGATTTTCTGTATCAGACATTTTCAAAGGTCGTTTCTCACGAGACATTTTCAGGAATCTCCTATCCATCTTTAACTTTCGAAATTTAGCCTGAGATGCTGATATTTTGTAAACAGCATCTGAGAAGAAGTAATATTAACTCGATCAATGCTTCCGTTAGGAAACTTTGCTCAGTGGAGCCCCGAAATTTCCGTCCAAGGTACTCCGCGGTAACACAGATGTAATAAAAGAACAAGCATAGTTTGAGGTTAAATCTTAATACAGTATTTATGAGGTAACACAGGATATGTTCTACGAAAATGAAGGAAAGAAGATTATTACAATACGCAAAATTCACAACTCCCACGAACTAGCGAGACTTGAAAGCCTGTTGAAGCTTCTAAATTAATCATAGAAAGGGCTCCACAAAGGATAGAAAAAATCGAGAAACTTTGCTTCAAACAGACATATTTTCAACAC